GAGTAGAGGTTATATATACATAAGACTACAAAAAGCTGTAAAAGTATATAAGGAGCCAGATCACAACTTTGAAAGCTAAAACAGAGATCTTCAGTGATGAGTCATGAAGACTCATTAAGGATTAAGAAGCAAGGGATAGGATCTGGATAGAATTTATCTAGCAGGAAGGAATGAAATGAATGGGGAGGAGAGAATATGTCAATCAGGTTATCATGAGAGGTGATGAGGACCTCAATTATAATGGAGACAGTATAAGAGGGAGATGGCACAGTTCTAAATTAGTCACTGGGTGTCTATAATGTGTAAGGTACCATTCCACTCTACCAAGAAATTTTTGAAATCTTAACACATCATTCTAATTTTTAAGGAAACTATAAAGTGGAAAAATAATTGTTAAAGCACCACAGCTAATTAGTAAAGTAATATGTTATTTCCAAATAAATATTACAAACAAAATCAGAGTGAGAGGGGGAAAAAATGGTCAAGGAAGACTTCATCAAAGAATTTGGAGTTCATCTGCACCTCAGTGAAAAGGTAGAACTTTACACAAAGGGAATTTTTTAAATTAAATAATTTGTTTAGTAAGACCAAGATATGTGAAATACTTTTTGAATGCTTAAAAATAAGTATATTATTAGATTCTAGATTTTTAAAGAAGGGGGTTACTTTTAATGAGTTCTATAATAGAGACCAAGCCTTTTTTTAAAAGTATCTTGAAGAAAGCTTTATTCAGTCACAACTCGATGCCAAAATGTTATTTGGTTATTTGTGAATGAAGCTCCTCGTAACACAGAACATAATCTGATAAACTCTTCATATTTTACATGTGACAATATTTAAACTCAGATCCACCTGCCTCCAAAACTAGAGCTACCTGCATTCACTGCTGTATTAACAATAGCTTATTTTCTTCTGATTTTAAAATGTCATATGTATTAATCACAAAGGAGGAAGAGATTAGTAAATCTCAAACCATATAACTACTGCAAAACTGAGAAATACATGTTTTTTCAGATAGAAATGCTGTTAAGTGGCTTTTGTTGTTCAGTGGATATTAAGCTCTTTTAATAGAGTACCACTCTTTAATTAGCATATAAAACACAGGGGTCTTAGAATGACAGTGATACCTCAACCTGTTCACATACATCTTCCTGTGCTGAGCTACCTACCTAGCCCTTTTCTCTTATGGACCTCAAGTCTCCCACCCTTTCACAACTTATCCTCCCACTTACAACCCTTCAAAGACTGCCCTTGATGGGCAGATTTCCTTTGTACACTTTCTAAACATTCAGGAAGGAAGAGTAGAGAGTGTGCCAAATTTCGTTTTTATCTTCTAATTCAAGAAAAGCTCTAACCTCTTTCCTTCCATTTCTTTAAGGATTCAAGTACTTTCTCATAAAATATTTTGTTATAGACTATATACAGGTTGAAAAAAACTATTTTATTAATAATTATTTTAAACCATTCCTATGTTTAGTATTATTGGGATTTGATTTTTAGGATTCCTTAAAAATGATCCATAATAAAGGAAAAAAGGAATAGGAATATACATAGTTCTTATAACACATTTAACTGCACTTGCCTTAAAATAAATATATTAATTCATTTAAAAGAAACCTAGTCAACCAATAACTGAGTGCCTAATGGGTGCCAGGCACTGTTCTAGGTACTTATTTGTAAAACGACAATTAAAAAAAAAAAATCCCCTTCCTTAAGGGAGCTTACGCTTACTACTTCATGGGAGAAGAAAGATAATAAACAATAAAAATAATAAGTAAAGACAGTTGTGTTAGAAAGTGATGAATGCTATGGGGAAAAAATAGAACAGGATAAGGAAGGCTGTTAGGGTAGGCTGCAATTTTAAATAGGGTGGTCAGAGAGGGTTTAAAAAGGTGTTATTTGAGTAATGACTGGAAGGGGATGAGGGAGTCAGCCATGGTGATAACTGGGCAAAGAGTACTCCAGGCACAGAAACCAGGGCAAAGGTCCTGGAGTATCCCGGGAACAAGGTGGCCAGACAGGCCAGCAGGGGGTAGAGTAGCAAGAGAGGTATGTGTGGAGGCAAAAGGTATAGATTATATAGGGTTTAGGGGACACTATAAGAATTTGGCTCTTATTCTGAATGAAAAAGGGATCCATAGAAGATGGAGTAGGGTGTCATGCATGATCTGTTTTACTAAAATCAATCTGGCTGCTGAGTTAGGAACAGGCTACTGCGAAGGAAAGGGAGATCAGTTAGGAGACTGGCTACTACTGAAACTCAGATGAGAAATACGTACTTCCTACAAACTTTGACCATAATGGTACAGCAATTATTTTTTAAGCATAAATAAATAAATAAAACAAATCTGTCAGATCCTGCTAAAAGGAAATAACTAGAAATTATTAAAAGAGTTTACCATATAGATCTCTTGGCATATATTTACATTGCACAACACAAACAAAAAACATTTTACTCACTACAAAAAATACCAGTGTTCTTTTATCATCAGCTTTTCCCTTTAAAAAAGTTAATCCTATTGCAGCTGAAACGAACTATTCTTTAAAGAAATAAGCCAATATTCCTGTACCTCTGTTAATTAAATACTATTTAAGGAAAAAATTTACTTCTGTCCACTGAAAATATAAATATTTACCTTGGATTGTTGTCTCTTAGGTCATCCTAATTAACCATTCCTAAAAATCTCATTTCCTTCGGAGGATAAATTTTTTTCTACAAGTTTCTATTTTTATGATCTCGTTTTTTTTAAAGGAAATTATTTTCAATTGATACCAAATTTGCATATCAGCATCTGGGTCATTCAATTCAGGAAAGGGCAACCACAAAAAACTCCCACTGTCACAAACAACATGTTTCAAAAAATGTTCTTTCATGATACCAAAGAAACTCATCATTTAGTCCTCCTGGAAAAGGCAAATAACAATTCTTAACACTATGTTATAAGGATAAGAGAAAGAGGGCAATAAGTCAAAGATAGTCAATTTGCCTGGAAAGGGGCTAGGAAACATGGAAGGAGATAAAAATAAAAATTCATACCTCTAAAAAAATTTGCTCACAAAACCAAAATAAGCACAGTCTTATAGTATTTATGAAGGAAACAGAGAGTGAATATAAACAATTTACTAGCTTCAAAGATTCAGAAAGACATTCAGATTTAGCTTGGATTTTTTTAAGAGACTGACTCTGTGACAATTCTTTGGAAGAAATGGGTGTGTAAACTTACAAAACATAATACCGAATTCAAATTCATTAATTCATTCAACATTTAAGTGCTTTTCTGTGCCAAAAATTGCATACAGCATTAGAAACATAGTCTCTTTTCTCAAGGGCTTATATAGTCTTCATTTATCCCACAGTTACTAAGTATCTACTTACTATGAGCAAGATGCTAGGGATACAACAGCAAACAGGAGGCACGGGGACTCTACCTGCAAACAGTTTACCCCGTGGAAGGAGGGAAATGCCTCAAGGATGAGACACACATCTAACTAAACAAGGAAATTAACACTTACGTGTTATATACGCTGTTTGCGGAAGTGTAGAGAGCTTAGGGGGACGCAAACAAGGGAGTGATGGATTCAGCGCAGGAGGGAGGGGAATGTTGGGGCTCCAGATATGAGGTGACAGGAGAGCTGAGTCCTCAAAAGAGGATTACAAGTTCACCTGGCCGACCTTGGGGGAAGGGCTCCAAGCAGAGGGAGCAATTGGAGCAAAAGCAGAGAGGTGTGAACCTCTCTGGTCTATATGGTAGGCCTGGTATATGTGGTAGGCCTGGAATAGAGAGACATGAGTTAAGTCATGGAGGCTTGTGTATGCCCCCAAGTAAGACTGGACTTTTACTGGTATATATGAAAGGCCCCTGAAGGGTTTTAACAAAAAACCAGCACACATGAACAGTTTTTCTGCTGTGTGACACTGGCTTACACAGGAATAAAAAAAGAATAACACTAAATAATGATGTCACCATGAAACAACAAAGGAGACTGCCTAGTTAGAAAACTAAATCCCCTCAGGAAAAAAATTAAGCTACTTAATTATCCAAGCACTTCTGGAAAAAAAAAAGCTTTTAATCGATATCATGTAAAATTGAAGTAGAGGAAAGATTTGTATATATTATGGATTATAACATCCACATACCTATCTTGAGTTTGCTCAAGAGGTCTTAACTCTTTATTAATTGTATAAACACATCTGGGGCTGCTGACTGCTGTGCAAAAAGCAATGAAACTGTTTAGGAGAAAGTCAAAGGGAGAACCACGAGTAACAGAAGGTATTTCTCAAGCCAGCTTTAAAGGTTTCCAAAGTTCAAGATAATCAAGTTTTATTAACTCAGAGCGTTTAAAAGGTGTGTCATGGGGTGGAGTGAAAGAAGGAGGGGTTTAAAAATTATGATATACATAAACAAGTAACTCTTGAAGTCCCTGGGACGAAAATCACCACTTGAAGATCTCCCAATTAGAAGGAGAAATGAATACCTACCAGATCCAATTAACACAGACAGGGGAGGGGGAGAGGAGGGAGGGAGGGAGAGGATGATCACACCTGAAAATATAAATAGGGTGGGGGGCAACCACCCATCCAGAATCCATAATCCGGTTGGCGGTGCGATGAAAAAATCATTTCTAAACCTCACAGCTCAGACTCCACGATTCAGACATAAAGACCACGATTCAGACATAAAGGCAAGAAAATGTCACTCTCAACTCCAGAAGCAAGCCACCAGCCTCTATCCAATGGGATATGATCACACACTCGAATCCCAGAACTCAAGGACAGAGTACCATCCCCACACCGTACTTGAGGGGAGGCGAAGGATCCCCCCAACTCTGGAAGTGGGGAGCAATCACCCTCAGATCCAGCTCTAAGGGCGTCAATGCCCCCCTAGGCCAGGCCTCGACGAGGCCGAGACAGTGACAGCCTCAAAGACCCCTCCTCAACCTTGGCCGGAGCTGCCTCTACCCCTCGCACCCCCTCTTCCCCAACACACACCCTCCCCTACCTGATATGGCGGCGGCGGCTCCTGATCCGGCTCCGTCCCCTCGCCAAAACTAGCCCGGTCGGACTGAGACTCGTGAAGCAGGGAGATGTCATCCGAAGTGGGGGATTTGAGGCAGTTCCCCATCTTCTGGGGCTGGGGTGTGTGATCTGGGGAAGGGAGAAAGCAGTGGCGGGGTCGTTCGTACGCTCCGCGGTCAGCCTCGGTCAGCGAGGTGGGGTCGGTCGGCAGGCCGGGGTTCAGGCGGCGACGGCTCCCCCGCCCCCCGGCGCCGCCGAAGGGCCGCTCATGCCAACCCCCGGGGGTGGGGGCTCAAGGCTGGGCCGCGGGCTCCTTTGGGGTCGCGGCAGTAAGCCTCCTGCGAGGCAGCGACGTGGGAGGGGGGGGCGGGCGGGGAGACGAGACACTTCCCCACCCCGCCCCCCCGCGGGGCGGCGGCGGCCACGGAGCTGCTGGGCCTAATCCAGGTCAGGAGGTGGGGGCGCGACCGTCGCGGCTGCCTCAGCTGCTGCCTCAGCTGCTGCTGCCCCTGCCGACGCCGCGGCCGCGGGCCTCATCCTACTCCGCCTCAAAGAGGCAGCGGCGGCAGCCAGAACGAGGCCAGCTGCGGCCCTGCGTCATGCCGCCGTGCGTGCTCTGGTCCCGCCCCCAGCGCCGAGAGGCGTGGGCAGCCCAGGCTGGCTCACTCCCACACCCCCGCCGCCTCACAGCTGTCTCTGGCTGCGTCAGTTTCTGCTTTTCTCTGTTTCGGTTCGGTACCTGACTCCGAAAACTATCTCCCGTGACTCCCCACGTCCACTTCTCCCTCCGTGCTTGTCTCAGCTCTTTACCTGTGCACTGTTCTGACAGTCTTCTCACCACCTTCCTCCAAGGAATCTATAAACCACGGTTAAAATGTTAAATAGTTTCCCCTTTATCCTTTCAAGATAAAGTCCAAAGCTAACCAATGAACCCTCCCTACCTATCCAATTACTTCCTTATTCACCTACATCACAGAGAGATTCCTCTTTCAGTTTTATATATCAGATTGTTGTATTTCTTTCCATTTCCACCACCATAGTCCAAGCCATCATTTCTCTCCCACACTACGGCAATTACTCTCGGCTGTCTTCCTGCCTTCACCATTGCCCCATTCAATCCACTATTTGCAGTTGAATTATCTTTTTAAAATATAAATCTCATCGTGTCTTTCTCCTGCTCAAAATCTTCTATTATGACTAAATATTAATTCTTAAATGGTTGACAAATCTGCCTACCTCCCTAATCTGATTAGCCGCATTGTCTCCTCACATATTCTAAACTCTAGACTAAGTAAAGTACTTTCAGTTATCTAGAAGACTGTTCCCTCTGGCTGAGGCCTTTATCTATATTGTTTCTCTGACAGACACTCACTTCTCTCCACTCCGGACCTTCTACCTCCCTCAAGCTAACCGTCATTTCCACTCGTTCTTCCTGGACTCAACTTCATTTCCCCAGGGAAGTCTCTCCTAACCCTCCAGCCTGGGTTTGTCGCCTTCTAGGTGCTCTCTGAGCTTTTCCTCTGTCACACACAGTCTGATCTAGCTGAATCATCTGTCCTTCCTTTGTGCATAGTCTGGCACTTTGCCTCAGGTAGAGTAGGCTCTCTTCTTGGGTGGATAAACAACTAAAAAAAGCAATGTATGCAAAGGCAGGCAACAAGAAAGGTGAGAATGTTCCTAGTATTCATTCAACAAGAAGACAAGAAGTGGGTCTTGACTCCCTTTCTATTATTCACCACACACTGATATTTAGTTAGGTTTCTTTCTTTTTTTTTTTTTTTAATTTTTTTAAGGCTCCAGACTCTATTCTAGGCACTAGGAAAACTAAATTACCGACCTGGTTTGTTCCTCTTGGAACCCAGAGTCCAAGCTGGGCAGGCAAGTAAACAAAGGAGTTTCATGTGCTGCTGCCCCTCACCCCAACCCAGAGGAGAGCTATTAGACTATTTAGGTCAGTATCTGAAAGGATTCTCGGAGTCCTTAATCTACAAAATCACTATCTTTTTTAAATGCACTCATATCCCATAGTAAATATAACCTTTTTGCTGTGTAACCTCTTCTCTAAGACTTGCTTTCCTTCCCATTAATAGCTCCCACTTAAATAGGTGTATAACTTATGCCATGTTCGTATCAGAACCTTTCACACCTCCCACAAAATGACTGCTTAATTCTCCAGCTTAGAAAAGTGAAATTATTGGATCCTTTGGGAGGAAAATTTCAAGCACATGCCTCTTTCCCCCTATTGCCATTTTCCTTGTCTCCTCTAAACTATTGCAACAGCTTCTTAACAAAGCCCTTGCCTCTGAATCATCAATCTGTTCTCCATACTACCGCCATGAAAATGTGATTAGAGAGCATTCATAGACTCATGGTTCAGAAATTTCGCTTGGTGTTAAGGCCTTGCATCATTTGTTCCCATTCTTATCTCCAACTCCAACTAAGCATCCTACTTGCCATGCCCTCAATTTTCACTAGGCTTTTTCACCTCTGACCTTTTGCCATGTTGTTCCCTTCTGTTGAAATTCAGCCATTTTTTAAGACCCTCCTTACATACTACTTCATCTACGGCCATGCCACCCTGAACAAGACCCATCCCGTGTGATCTCAGAAGCTAAGCAGGGTCGGGCCTGGTTAGTACTTAGAAGGGAGACCACCTAGGAAGACCAGGTGCTGTAGGTGTAAACAATAAAAAAATAAGGGATTGTAAGCTGACAAGATCCTTGCAATCTATGAGGTCAACCAAGGGTTGCCTCGCCTAAAAATAAATAAGTAAGTAAATAAATAAATACCAATTCATGTAGCTGTCCTGGATTTCACTTAGTTGCAATATATGTAACAATATAAAATAAATGAGACTTATTGTATGATATTGAGTATAACTATATATCATATATGAATATTTTAATGCAATTTTAATATACAATTATAACTGCCATGTATTAGTCTAAGCCAGACACATAAGAACCCTGAAAGGTCTATATTGATATTCTTGTTTTGTAGAAATGGAAACATGGCTTCACATGGCTATTCAGAGGTAAAGCCAGGGTTTGAAACATATACTAGTTGTCTGTATTAAGTTATGGGAAATAACTACATCTTTTTTCATCCTAGTATTCCTCCCTCAGTGTGTAAAAACAAGAGAATGGGGGAAGACTTATCTTGAATGACTTTGGCATCCACATGTATCTTTATAAGGAAATAGTTATTCAATAATCTTTTTTCCTAACCCAGCTTTAGAAAGGAGCCTTGAGAAGTGCCCTGTAGACCAAAGTGTGACCTAATCACAAAATATAATTTAAAATCGGAAATAGTAACCAGGACTATTACAGTGACAAAGATTCTCCTTGACCTAACTCTGCCAGGCTCCTCTAAGCCCTCAGGGCCCTAACCTTGGGCTCTGTGCTTGGCCCACTTTTCCCAATTTTAGCAAAAGTCTAGCTGAGTCAGTTTAGCTGGAATCTCCCTCCTTTAGTATCTGACCACCTTGGCTTGCCTTCAGCAAAAATCCTGTCAAGTAGGTTTAACTAGAATTCCCCTTATCCCTGATGTTTCCTCTTAGTAATTTTCCATCCCCTGATTCCCACTCTGCTCCTTGCCCATAAATCCTCACTTGTCCTTTTTGTATTTAGAATGGAGTTCAGTTCTACACTGGAGTCTCTTTTCCCCTACTGCAATAGTTCTTGAATAAAATTTGCCTTCATCACTTAAACTTCTGTCTGGCTGTGGTTTTCTCTGACAGTAGATCTAATGCATAAGCAGATATGAGAGACATATTTTTTTTAAATAGACATTAATTTTTAGACCAGTTTTAGGTTCACATCAATATTAAGCAAAAAGTATGAAGATGTACCACATGCAATTTGCTCCCACACACACAGAGCCTCCCCATTATCAACCTCCTACAGCAGAGTGGTGCATTGGCTTCCACTCTGAATCTGCAGTGGCACATCACTGTAATCTTTGCTTATGTACTGGTCACTCTTGGGGTTGTACATTCTATGGGTTTGGACAAATGTATGAGGACATGTACTCACATTATAACATCATACAGAATAGTTTCACTGCCCCCAAAATCTTTTGTGCTCTTCTTATTCATCTCTTCCCTTAGCACTAACCCCTGACAAACTGATTTCTTTACTGTCTCCATAGTTTTACCCCTTCCAGAATGTCATATAGTTGGAACCATACAGCATGTAGCTTTTTTAGATTGTCTTCTTTCACTTAGTAATATGCAATTAGGGTTTCTCCATGTCTTTTCATGGCTTGATACTCATTTCTTTTTAGCACAGAATAATATTCCACTCTCTGGAAGTCCCACAGTTTATTTATGCATTCAGCTACTGCAGGACATCCTAGTTGCTTCCAAATTTTAGCAATTATGAATTAAACTGCTCTAAAGTAAGAGTACAGGGTTGTTTTTTTTTTTCCAATTTTTTCATTATGACAAAATACACTTAACAAAATTTACTACCTTAACCATTTTTAAGTGTACAGTTCAGTGGTCTTAAATGTTCATAATATTGTGCAACTATCACCCCATCCAGTTATAGACCTCTTCATCTTATAAAACCAAAACTACTCATTAAACCACAACTTCCCGTTTTCCCTTCCCACTAGACCCTAATAACCACCATTCTACTTTCTGTGTCTATGATTTTGACTACTCTATGTATCTTATATAAGTGTAATCATATAGTTTTGTCCTTTTGTGACTGGCTTGTTTCACTTAGCATAATGTCTTCAAGGTTCATCCATGTTGTAGCATATTGCAAAATTTCCTTTCTTTTTAAGGCTGAATAATATTCCATTGTATGTATATACCCATTTTGCTTATCTATTCATCCATTGATTGAACTTGGGTTGCTTCTATGTTTTAGCCATTATGAATAATGCTGCAATGTACAAATATCTCTTTGAGAGTCTGATTTTAAGAAGTGGAATTGCTGGGTGATATAGTAATTCTATGTTGCCATATTGTTTTCCACAGCAACTGTACCATTTTACATTCCCAAAAAACAATCTGTTTACAGGTGTTCGTGTAGACATTAAGTTTTCAACTAATTTGGGTAAATACCAAGGAGTACAATTGCTGGATTGTATAGTAAGAGTATGTTTAGTTTTGTAAGACACTACCAAAGTGGCTGTACCATTTTGCATCCCCTCCACCAGTGAATGAGAGTTCTTGGTGTTTCATATCCTCACCAGCATTTGATGTTGTCAGTGTTCTGGGTTTTGGCCATAGCAATAGGTGTGTAGTGATACTTCATTGTTGTTTAATTTTCATTTCTCTGAAATTTTCCTTTCATATACTTACTTTCCATCTGCATATTTTAATTGATAGGGTGTCTGTTAAGGTGTTTGCCAATTTTTTTAAAGAGCATGATTTATTTTCTTATTTTTGAGTTTTAAGAGTGCTTTATATTTTTTAGAGAACAGTCCTTTATCAAATATGTCTTTTGCAAATGTTATCTCCCAGTCTGTGCCTTGTATTTTTATTCTCTTGACAGTGTCATTTGCACAGCAGAAATTTTTAAATTTTAATCAAGCCAGCTTATCAATGGTTCATGCTATGAATTGTATTTAAAAAGT